AATTATGTCCAGGAACCCTGTCTAACCTGTTCGGAGGCCTCTCGTGGTTCTGCCTGATATTTCTATTAATTCCCAAAGGACCCGAAAAGGCAGAAACCGCACACCCTAAAACTGAACCCTTTGGGTCAAACAAGCAAGAAGCAGAGTTGGGAGTTTCCAAGCTATGGAGTTCTTGCAGTTTGCATAAGCCATAGTCTCAACTCCTCGTATCCCCCTTCATAACCCTTGTAGTAGTCGCATACATAACACCCTATATAACCCCCTTCAATTAGTTTAGACTATGGCTCACATCAGTTTGAAGTGCTTTGTCCTGTGTTACCCTGGCTGCAACAGGGTTTGTCTTGTGCAGGTGTGCGAGGCTACCATGCCCGGAAAATGCACCTGGTGGGGTATCTAAAGGACTTCTGGGGGAAATATTTAAAGGGATACCGTGGGTCTATTGTAGGCTTATGAGCAAAAATGTAGTAGGTAATGGTTATGGTGGGGACATGAATTTGGATCAACTGCCAAATCGTCGTCTCCGAAAATGGGGGGATCCCACCTCATCCACCCCAAAGAATCATCCATTTTTTGAGGACCCGCAACTTGCACCAGTTGAGGGTTTAGGGATGCATGAAACACTTAAAACATGAATTCTCTTTATGGTGCTGGGAGGGCCCTTCAGAAACTCAACGGCCTGCAACCGGATCCCAGGAGCTGAAGATCTGTGGGACAGCACTACTACTGCCGTTGCCATAGATCCTTAGAGAACCTCCTGAATTTCCGCTAGGACCCCATGAGTGTAGTGTCGTAAGGTTGCGCCGGATTTTGAGGATCAATAGCATTCCAATCTTGCCCTTCCTGAAGGTACGCTGCAAATCCAGTCAGGCTCTTCCACAAGGACTGCAATCTATTCGCTATGAGTTGGTCCAAGAGAGGTTTTCTCATGTGGGACTCATGAGCTATAGTTCACCCTTCATAGCCCCTTTTGGAGTTTTGGCTGTGGCCCACATAGCCATGGTACTCCCCTGACTGTAACCCACTTGTGGTTCTGGCTCAAAGCCACCCAAACAATTCGGGTGTTGCAGGAACGCTACTGAAATAATTGACCGTGCAAAAAGCTTAGTAGATTTTATCCGCCCCATGTTGTGTAACATCCCCCTGCTTAAACCTCCCATGGCTCGAAAATGCCAACACACTGGTAGTTGAGTCGGATCCCGTAAAGGCATTTAAGGTCATGAGTGACCCCGAATACCATTGGCCGCCAACTCTAACCCCTATAAGCATAAACCCTGAAAGTCATAAAAATTACTCCTCGGCCTTACCAACCCCACACCAGTAGACACGATCCCTAAACCCAAAACTCTTCCTGCAAACATTCGCCCTAAAACCTCATGCTGTGAACCCTAACCCCTACACCCACCCCAAAGCCCCCGACCCTTAACCCCATAAACCCTCAAACGCTTCATCCTAAACCTTACACCCTAAACCCTACATCCTAAATCCCAAACCCTAAATCCTACAAACCCTAAACCTTTAGGATGACAAAGCCACTGTCTCATGGAGCGCATGGAGGTAGAAGGACCGGAAATCCAGGGGCCAGACCTGCCGAACCCACGATTGAGGGTTTAGGGTTTAAGGACTTTTATAGGGTTTAGGGTTTGGGGCCTAGGGTTTAGTGGCTTTTAAAGGTTGTTCGGTGGCTTTTAAAAGTTTGATTGAAGGCGTTTACATGTTTGTTATTCAGGGCTTCCGGTGAACTTAGGCATGACATGTTTAGGATTTTAAGGATTTAGGGGTTTGAAAGCTTGCAGATGAGGAATTCAGGGTGCAGGGATGTAGGGAACAGGAATAGGGTTGGAGTGCAGGATGTGGGGGATGGAGGGGGGCGGTGGGTTCGGCGTGACGCTGCCCTTTGCATTGCTTTATTGCTTTGGAACCAATGCTGATGAGGTTAAAGCGTGCTCAGAAGCAAGTAAAGGGGGGGATTCTCAAAAACAGGCGCCCTAGGGATCCCTAGGGGTGTTGAAGGGATGCCATTGAGGGGTTCAAAAGGGAAAATTTGATAAACTTGAACGAAGGGCTCCATGCATCAAAAAAAATTCCTTGCAAGATCAGGAAAACCTTCATTCAGGTTTGTGGGTCCCAAAAATCCTGAAAAATGCTAGGCTTCGCCAGATCCTATCCTAGTCCCCAAGAGTTTGGGATTGTGGGGCCACCGCTTCCAAGAGCAGCCCTCAGTTAGAAGTCTTCTTGAACGCGTTGGCCAAAGCCCGTTCCTGGCCCTCATCCTGTGAGGGAAGCACTTTAGGAGGAGTAGCTCGTGGTAAGGGGGACCAAAACCTGCAACAAATGCATCCATGCAGGCCAACAGCTTGTGATTGAGGAAGCAACCTTAAACCATATTCGGTGTCTTCGCAGCGTTTGAAGTTTTATTCCGGAACTAATGTGTAGTGGCCTAGCTGAATAACCCTCATAGAGACGCAACAGCCCCCTGTACCTGTTGACCTCTCTCGGAAGCAGATCTGCTATTCCCTTAGACAAAAACCCTTAACCCTTAACCCTAGGCCAAAGGACCTAAACCCAAACCCTAAACCCTAGGGCTTGCCATTCCTTAACTGGGTGCCATGCCCGCACATGACGGTCAGCTGAAGCAGTCACGACGAAGGACTCGTTTGCACAAAGCCCGGTGATGGCCTCCATGGGCTGAGGCGCCACAAGGAGTTCAGGGTTTAGGGTTTAGGGTTCAGGTTTAGGGTTCAGGGTTTATGGTTTAGGGTTTAGGGCTTAGGGTTCAGGATTTAGGGTTTAGGGTTGTCAGGTAATACTGGGATAATATGGGGTAATACAGGGATATATAGGGTTATACAGGGTAGTATCAGGAATATATAGGGTTATATAGGGTAATATAGGGATTATATATAGGAACTGCTCATGAGGTTTCACATGACGCCACTGCTTCGATCTTTGCAAAAAGCTGCATTATGCTTTCAGTGCACCTCATCATCCTTTTACCCCTTCCCATAGGGTTTAGGGTCTAGGGCTTGAGGTTCAGGGTCTCAAACTGCCAAACCTGGAGAACTTGGCAAGCCCAGACTTCCTGATACAACATGCTTACTTGGGGTTACGGCCCCCGTGAGGTAGATAGGATTTGGGGTCAGTCTCCCTGAAGTGGATAAAATATGCAGTGGTTACAGTCCCCCTTTAAGCAGATAGGATATGGGGCACGTGACAGTGTGGGGAATGGGGTAATTGTGCATTCTATCTACTTAAGGGGGACTATGAAGGGGTAGGGCTTAGGGGTGTGCCATGTGTTTGGGCTTCGGGCGCAAGATTTAAGGTCCAACTTGCATTGTTTTTGTAATCATTCATGTCCCGAAGTACCCCCCCCCCTATTTTCAGAAACTCCATCATACGCCTCCTGTAACTAAGGGTGTCTGGAAGTGTCAGGCTTTGTGCCCTGAAACCCATCAAACACTCCTTTTTGGGTTCGGGGGCAGCTTCCAGCTTCCGCCTAGCAGAGACGGCATCACTTTGGCCTTCTAGGGTTAGGGTTTAGGGCTGAGGGTTGAGGACTTAGGGTTTAGGGCTTAGGCTTAGGGCTTAGGGTTCAGGACTTAGGGTTTAGGGTTTAGGGTTATAGGGCCCACGGTTTAAGGCTCAGGGCTTAGGGTTTAGGACTTAGGGTTTAAGGCTTAGGGCTTAGGGTTTAAGGTTTAGGGCTTGGGGGCCGAACAGTTCCAAGAACAGTCTCAGAATCCACGGGCCTTAACTGTTGGACTTTTTGGGCCGTACCCAGTAAGCCATAGTAAGGCGAGATCTGGGACTCTACTGAGCTGGGGCGGCAGCCGAGCAGTGCCAAGTTTAGTCGCAGAATTTGCGCGCCTTAACTGTCGTATTTTTTTTGAGGCTGAATCAGGCAAGCAATAGTAAGGCGGGATCTGGGACTGCTGCTGCAGCGGATCTGCGCCGGCTGCCGAACAGTTCCACGCACAGTCCCGGGATTCATGCGCCTTAACTGTCGAAATTTCTGGAAGGCCTCATCCCTGCCGGGTTCTTTGCCCCTGGCAGGTGTGGCAGCACTTCTGCTCTTTGGGGAGATCTCAAAAGGGCACCGGATACTTCACCACACATATAGTCCCCCTTAAGTCGATAGAATATGGCTTTGGGTATATTACAAGAAGATCCCCATATACCCCATATTCTATCTACTTAAAGGGGACTATAGCTTAAAGGAGGAACCCTAAAACCCAAAGCCCCACATCAGAGGCAGCAAGCATCAGAATAAGAACCCCAACCGCCAAGCACTACCCTGAGCCCTCCCTGAGCTCTACATACTCCAGATGTGTTGCCATAATCAGGGAGTTGCGCCAAAGATAAGGGTTCATTGAGATCCGCGTGAACTATCTACCAAACCTAGGGGTCCCTTGTAAGGCTTGTGTAGGATTTATTTTGAGAATTACTTGGTAAGCCACAAGTATGTCTCAACACAAGGATGTAGTCAGAGACCCTATAGAGAAGGGAAAATGGTACAACAGGACGAGCGTTACACAGCTTGGAAGAATCTAGCTGTGATTGCTGAGACGTCTTTGTTCATGAGCATGTAACACTTTCCAGAAATAGGGGGATCCCATCGTAGATCCCCAAATTCTATATTTCTATAGGCATCCCCCCAGAAGATACCCCTAGCATGGGGAACCACACTTGAGCAGCTGTCAACCCTGGATGACTGTGGGAACCCAAGGCCTAGCAACAAATTGACCCTGACAAAATTCTGGTTTAGGGTTTGGGGTTGAAAAACCACCCAATGCACCTCCAGTACTGGTGCTACACTAGTCAGGCATATTACGAAACACGAATGCTTTCTATTATGGTAACTTTTCGAGACCGCAGGATTTTACCTGGTTTCAACTTAGGTTGTTCCTTGCACAGGTATTACAAAATCGAGCGAGATCTCCCAGAAAGCGCTTTCTCATGCATCATGGGCTCCCCAGGATTTAGGGATCTAGGGCCGAAGGGCATCAGTAGTGGCCCACAATATGCATTTGGCCAGTGAGGTCCTGGAATTTGGCACACACAGCGGTTATAGGGGCTCATAACATATAAGGGTTGTACGCATCGCTGCCAACATAGGGGTCCTATAGGGATTGCAAAAGGTGATGTAGGCTTAAGGGGGAGTTTTGCAGATGGGGAATTACCTGGCAGGCCTGCTTACATCAGGCTAAGATGGGGACAATAAAAAAACGAAGGCTATTTCCGGAGGTTAGTGCTGGAGTGTCTTTGGGCCTTTGGCATTTCAGTGTATTGGCACTCTTGCTGGTTGTGGTGTAGGGCTGTGGGGCGTAGGATTGGGATCTTGCTTGAGGGCTACATCGCCCAGAGTGGGCGGTCCTCCTTTCAAACTTCACAAAAACTACTATTTTTCAAGCAGCGCGTGTCTAGTTCAAATTAGACTAGCTGTAGGAGGCTTTCAGCTGTTCCAGCCTCGCACTTTCCTAGCCGGAGCCTATAGGATGGACTGTTTGGGCTCTCTCCTTGGTCTTAGGGGAGTGTAGGACTCTGGGCTTCATATCCCAGAATTCAAAGTTTACAGATAAGTTTACTAGATCCGTAATGGGCGTGGTCCAACCCAAGTCCTGAATCCTAGCGGTAATGTGCGAGGTTAGTTTCGCATTGCCCGGAGTCCTGACCATGGGGATTACAGCAATCTTGAGGTAAGCTAGGTAGGCATATTACGAAGCAGAAGTGTTCTCGATGATGGTACCCTAAACCCTACTCACGTGGAACTGTAGGATTCACCTCATGGGTTTTCATCCCTGCCTGGGAGGCAAGAATCTGCTGAATCTTCAAACCGGCACTCAGGGACCGTAGGATAAGACGTAAGGGGCCTGTATCCCCACAGCAACTACACCTCAAGCCCTAAACCCTCTGATGTAAGGGGCTTGTAAGTATTCCCACAGCAGCTAAACCTGAAACCCTAAACCCTCTGATATAAGGGGCCTGTATTCCCACAGCAACCCCCCAATGTTGAGGTGGTTGTCCTTTCCTGCAGTGTCCTGGAATGGAGGGTTGCGGATTTGCCGGGCTTTTACGGTGTAGCAAACAGAAGCCCTAACCACTGAACCCTAAAGAGCATCTGGGATCCCGAAACCCTGAACCGAAAAAAACCCTAAAATCCTGACCCCTCAAACCCTAAACCCCTAAAACCTAAACTGCAACCCCGAGCTCAAAACCCGCAAAACCCACAGTCCAAGACAACGCAAGGGGCACAAAGTCAGGGCAAGGTACACTCCTGGAAACTAACATGGAAACCCAAAAGGGGCCCTATAAAGACTACAGTCCCTCTAAACTGGGGCTATATGGTCGGGGACCCCAAAATAGACCCCAAAAAATACTATGATCCTTATTATTGGGACCCCCAAAAAGGTACCCCTAATTTTGGGAAGCCCCATATGGGTTTCTATGTTAGTTTGGGGGAGTGTAACCTTTCATCACCTTGGAGCTCTTAACCCTGCACCTTACACTCTAACCCTCAGAGCCATAGGTTGGGTAGACAAAGTAGCACATGACCCCAACTAAGGCTAGACAGCTTAGGGATAGGAAGTTTGGTCCAATATTGTATTTTTAGGGCTTAGGTATTTGGAGTCATGCCGGATTTTGTCCACCAAAGGAAGCCAAGGTAGACAACCGCTCTGCTAAATTACCCAAAGCCCTCCTATTACCCAATATGCATCCCTGGATAAACGCATTATCTTCGGTACTGCCACCATTCACTAACAGACACCACAAACCAAATCACACAAAAACACACACACACACACACACAACACCATTTTCATGGCTTTAAAAGAAATGGAGATTAAGGCATTCATCATCTGGAAAAGTGGCATAGGAGCACTCTCAGGATTCAATCTTTGCTGGTTCTAGGTCCTTCCTTTTACCTTCCAAGTGCTTTTCCATTGCTGTTCGGCTCTTCACCCAAAAAGCAAGGAAATTAACAGCCCAGCTCTTTTGCTGCGCAAAGCCAAGGTTAGGCAGCTCGGCCTACTGGGGGACTTGAAGGGCTCAGAGGGATCTGCAAAGCAGCCTAGGCTGCGGCTGAAGGGCTTGGGCCAGGCTGGGGGCCTGGCGCAGCTTGGGGGCTCAGGGCAGCCCGTGGGCCGCCAAGCTTTTTCAAATTTGAATCCTAGGCCCGGCCGTTTTTCAAAATCTGGAACCATTAAATTCCAGTTGTGTGTGTGTGTGTGTTTTTTTTGCTGGTGTTCCTTAGTTTGTGTTTTTTTTTGTGCTCATCCAGGTAGAATCCAGTTGTGTTTTTTCGTGGTTTGGCTTGTGCTGGGTGATTGGCAGTTTGTGCTCTGATTTGTGCTTCCAGTTTGTGCTCTGGTTTTCAAAACAGTTGTGTGCTTTTTTTGTGCTCTGGCTTGTGCTTTTTTATGAAAAGAAAAGCACAAACCGGAGCACAAAATACTTTCGGATTTCCAGTTTGTGGTCTGGTTTGTGCTGGGTGATTGGCAGTTTGTGCTCTGATGTGTGCTTCCAGTTTTGTGCTCTGGTTTTCACAGCAGTTGTGTGTGCGTGTGTGCGTGTGTGCGCGCGTG